GATGGCGCTGTAACCTGATAAAATCATATAGACAAAAGTGACAAGCCATCGATTTATTTCATGGCTTTAAAGCTAATGTAGACTCCTCATATGTGTGCTTCAAGGGTTATTCTGCCCAAAAGTTATGTTGTTGTTCTAGGTAGTGCCTGGTGGGCCGAGTTAGCCCCTGGGTTCTTATATGCCCTATATACTCCCAACAGTGATTGATATCTCCCTGCTGTCATTCCCAAATCTTCCTGGCCATCTGGGAGCTTTGGGTGTCCCAGCTCTTCCTGTTACATTCTCCATAAAGTCCAGCATATATGGGTGGTAACCCCTCCTGGTCAGGACACTATCTGCAAGGAGATGCATTTCACCATGTGCTTGCGTGGGTTTCCTCCGGGTACTTTGGTTTCGTCCCAAACTCCAAAAGACATGCTGGAAGGTTAACTGGCTTCTGTTTTAATTGGCCCTGTATGCGTGTGAGATGGGAACTCCTCACAATGGGCACAGCAGGTGCACAATTTTTTGTTTTGTATAGTAATATTCAATTATTTTGTAAATATGTTTTATTTATTTATTGTTTTCTTGTATATAAGTTGTTGTTTGTAAGAATTTTCAATAAACAAAATTAGCCCCTCATAATGGGCACAGCAGGTGTACAGACCAGGCAATTCAGCACAAGGATGGTGGGAACACCTGACTCTCACATCTGTATGAACTTGCTGGATTCCCTATTCCATAACTATGGCCGTTAATATGGAGTTGGCCCCCCTTCCCCCTTTGCAGCTGTAACATCCTTCACTCTTCTGGGAAGGCTTTCCAAAGAGTTTTGGAGGATGTCTGTTGGGATTTTTGCCCAATTAGCCATAAGATCATTTGTGAGGTCAGGTATTGATGTTGGATGAGAAGACCTCACAATCAGTGTTCCAGTTCACCCAATGGTGTTCAGTAGGGTAGAAGTTGGGGCTCTGTTCAGGCCACTTGAGTTCCTTCATGCCAAACTGGTCAAACCATGTCCTTATGGAGCTGGCTTTGTGCACATGGGGACAGTCATACTGAAACAGAGAAGGACCTTCCCCAAACTGTTACCACAAGTTTGTCCCCGCTGGAGAGATTCACCAGAGAGATTCTATATTTGTCCTTGTGACCATTGACATAAGGACTGAAATTGATGAAAGATCCAAAATGTTATAGTGGTTAGTATTTTTGATCCAGAAGGACCTGTCTGTCCTCAGGGAGGTGGTCAGCCCAACAATGGTGCCCCTGAAATCTAAAGTATCCTTGGCTATGGTCAAGGAAGTTTAATAACCCCAAAGCTTTGGATTCTGGTAGATCATGGACTTTTTCATCCAGCATAACATTGTCAATGAATGGTGCAGGATGATGATGATATCCCTGGAAGCTTCATGGTCCCGTCAGACTCCGTTTCTCGTGGCTTGAAGTAGATTGAATAAAACAGATTTGCTAAAGCGCATTTTCTAAAACCACAAATTAATTTCTATTTTTCACAATCTAATTATGGGAGCTCTGCATCCCAGGAGGGGGGCGCTTTTTTCCTGTCATTTCCAGGAAATTTGAGCAAAGCGTTCTAGTCATAGACAGATTACATTCGGTAATTGTTGCTGGATAATTCATTAGGACGGGACTGGAGCTTCAGAGGCGGGTGCGCTGGCTTTATAGGCCTGAGTGCTAGACGCTCGCTATCTTCGTAAGCATCTTTTATTTAGTCATGGCACCCTTTATTAGTATGCAACGTTTCAAAGCACCCCAGTCTAAAACGTGGAACATGTACATGTGTGGCCCCTCCAGGATTCATACCAGACCCTTATCCTAGATAGGGGTCTGATATGGATTTTAAGGTGGGACCCCATGTGAAGAAACAAAGTGGGGTTCCCCCTTCAAATCAGGAACCCTCTTTTACATCAGAGCCCACCTTTACATTATGAGCCCTCTTCATATAAGAGCCCCCCCTTTCACAAAAGAAACTCTCACATCATAGTCCCCCTCTTCATATCAGGATCTGTCTTCATTTAAGAAGCCCCCTTTACATGAGAGCTCCCCCCCTTTTACATGAAAATTCCCCTTTCATATCAGGGTTCCCCCTTCCCATCAGAATCCTCAGTCCCCCCTTCACATCAGAAGCCCCCTTCCTATTAGAATCCTCAGCCCCCCTTCCCATCAGAATCCTCAGTCCCCCTTCACATCGGAAGCCCCCTTCCCATCGGAGTCCTCAGTTCCCCCTTCACATCATTAGCTCCCTTCCCATGAGAATCCTTAGTCCCCCTTCACATCAGAAGCCCCCTTCTCATCCGATTCCTCAGTCCTCCCTTCCCATCAGAGTCCTCAGGTTACCCTTCAC